AAAAAGAAGAGCTCGACCTCGTTCGAATTACGTCGGGTTAACATTTCGACATCAGCTCAAAATAACACCCCTACGGCTAAGGGCCATCGCCAAAAAGAAGAGCTCGACCTCGTTACGACGGGTTAACATTTTGACATCAGCTCGAGATAACACCCCTACGGCCAAGGGCCATCGCCAAAAAGAAGAGCTCGACCTCGCTCGAATCATTTAATATTCTACCTCGTTCGAATTACGACGGGTTAACATTTCGACACTAGCTCGAAACAACGCCCCTACGGCCAAAGGCCCTCGCCAAATGAAAAATTCGACCTCGCTCGACTCGTTTAGTATTCAACCTCTCGAACTACAACGGGTTAGCATTCTGACATCAGCTCGAAATGAAAAATTTGACCTCGCTCGAACATATAAAAAAAGACTTCGCCCGAATCAACAACAATTTGATCCCACTCAAATGACTCAAGACTAACTTTATCCAAAACAACGAGTCCGAATATAACCTCGTTTGAGTCAAGGGTGAATCTACTTAAACCAATAAGTCACAAGTCGACCTCGCCCAAATAGGCGAATCCAATGAGACTCCATCCGGACTCACACGATGAGATCCTACTCGGTCAGGTTAAAATTGATTTCCCTGAAAAGTTAGGAGTTCACCATACGGAAATCCGAAAGTTTACGCCAAAGATATGTAAAGTAAAAGGAAGGGAGAGAATACAAACGACGTATAGCGACAAAAACCCCTCTTATTTAGACAGTTGCGCAAACGGCCGCAGATTACACACGGCTAAAACCCGTCCAGTACAGAAAATAAAAAAAAAACAAAGATAACAACTTTTTTACTCGGCGTCATTACCGATGTCCTCCTCATCACCATCTCCAGGAAACCCTTCCTCAGCATCACACCCTCGCCAGCCTCTGGTGTCACAGGATCGTAGCCACAGTTAACACGAGCCTCTCGTGCCTTTGCCCGAGCTCCTTCATAAGCGGCCTTAGAAACATTGGCCGCTTCCCACAAACTCTTGTATATGTCCCGTTGGGCTTCGGCATGGACCCAGAGCTCGTGCAAATGGAGAGGAACATCGGTGGAAGCAGATTCGACTTGGGCCAATTATTGCGCATTTTCGGCCTCAAGGACAGCGACCCGATCTCCCAAGGTTGAAGCTTCCCGATCAATTTCGCAAATACGCTCTTCGAGCCTCGCCTCCCTGAGCGTAGCCGTCGCCCTCTCAGACTCCTGCTCGGATTGAAGGACGCGGATAGTGTCCTCTAAAGCCGCCGCCCTCGCCGAAGCCGATGCCCAAGCACTCTCGGCACTCTTCAACTCGAAGACCTTTCTCTCCAGTTCGGTTAATTTCCCCATCTACTCCGCACTCAAGGCCTCGACTCTGATGGCATTGTGATCCAATTCGGACTGCAACGACAACACCTTCGCCTGAAGATGTTCACACTCTACGGCAACCCCTTTTCCCAACAAAAGTTCCTCGTCCCTCACACGAAGCAGCTCCTCGAGCTCGCTATTCCTGCGAATAGCCTACATCAGCTCTTGATCCCTCTTCTCTAGTTCCTCGCCGAGAGATTGATTACCGGCGTTCGCCCTAAGCCATTCGTGCATCTCACAGCACTTTTTGCGGTAGCGCCGATGCTTCTCCAACATAGTCAGAAAAATTTTGGCCCGAGTGTCGACCCTGCAAGCACTTTCAATCTCCACCATGTACGTCTGAAAGCCCAAAAAGAAAAGAGAGAAAGACAAAAAGAGTTAGTAAAGGTCAAGGTCGCCAAAGATAAAAGGAACACAAAAAGAAAGAGGAGAAACTTACCCTCAAGCCCATAGCGGCCACTTCATGCATCAAATCAACATCACGGACATTCCGAAGAGCCTCACACTCTGCGGCAAAGCACAGAAGGTCAAACTGCGGTACCAAGTCCTCCGTGTCCCCCAGAAGGTTAATCTCCGACGGGATCTCAAGTATACAGGACGGACCTCCCGCCCTTACCACCGTACGAGTAAGGCCTTCCTCGAACGTCCTGACATCATCAGGATCCAGATCGGATTTAGACTCGTAGTCAACGACCACGACACCCTTTCCCCTTTCTGTGGCCGAAGAAGAAGCACGACCCGGTCCGAAAGATGATGGCCCACCCAAAGTGGCAACAGCGGCCTCGAGATCTCGATCCCCCATCGTAGTAGTCCACTGATCGATCACAGCAGTCAAAGCCCCTGCCGTCGGGTTGGTTACGATCACCGGATTTACCTCTGCGGGCGGACTGGTATCACCCCCTATTTCAGACACCGTCGAGGGAAGTTCACCCTATGAACGCACTGCAGCTGAAGGAGCCATTTCGGACTCCACTCGTTGTCTCTTCGACGGACCTTCTCCGTCCTCAGCACGGGAAGACTCACCCGTTGAGCGGGCAGTAGGAGCCGGAGTCCCAGATCGGGAAACAGTTTCCATACATACAACCCTGGTCGTAGGTTCAACTTGAGTAGCCCTCGCTGTGGGCCGGGCAGCAGACCTTGGTGCAGACCGAGCAGAAGACGTTGGTTGACGGAATGCAAGCGGAGGAGCCCTCGCCCTTCACACTCTCCCTGATAACGGTAATGGTCGTATACGCAACAAGGTCAAAGTGCAAGGCAAAAAAAAAAAAAAAAGCTGCGTCAAGTCTACTTACTAGTAAGGGGCTTACGTCCATATTTCTCATAGAAGGACGCCCATTTGCGAAATCCCGCCGTATTAGGATGAATGGCATTCACCCATTCACAGATATCGTCAACAGGCGGAGGGGGTAGTCTCGTAGCTGCAAAAGTAAAAACGATTTAATACCGCCCAAAGAAAAGCGGTCGACTATCATTCCTACAGAAGATACAAAAACTTACGTGCGAAGTTCCATCTCTGGGAACCCTGCAGAGTTCGCCACACGATGCTCGGTCCAGACATAAAAATAGTTTTCGTAGAAATGACGATTTTCTCTATCATCCATCTTCACCACCAGACTCTTTGTTCCTCGATAGCGCATGTGGATCATCGTGCCTTGAATAAGTTGAGGGGAAAAAATATTGAGCATATGCCCCAGAGTGATCTCCCGACCGGCAAGCTCCGCAAACTTGAGCAGCATGAGGAACAGTTTGTACGATTACGGCGAAAGTTGAGCCGGAAATACCTCGTAGAAACGGCAAAAATCTACCACCAAGGAAGGGAGAGGAAGCATATATCTGACGATAAAAGGATATGCGTAGAACGCACAATATCCTCGGCGGTCGAAATGTATAATATCATCTCCTACCGCCGGCAACATCTCAACATGGTTCGGAATCCCCCACTTGGTCTTAAGCTCTGCAATCGCCGCTTCATCCATAACAGAGGAAACAGGCTCCGGTTCCTCTCCGGCAGGGCTGTTGAAATCGGTCCATGGCTTCCCTAGACGGGGCAATATTTCTGCCGCTGTTGGAACCCCTTCGTCCTCCACCACCTCCACTCCTCCGGGAGAGAGAACATCATTTTCCGGTGCCGGAACTGTGGCAAGATTGTCACCGCGGGAAGAAGTACCAGCCATTTATCTTGATTGAACAGAGCGAATGAACAAGGGGAAGTAAGAGGGAAGACGGTGATGTCAATTTTCGACTAACAGGAGAGTGAATTGAAAATTCGAAGTATCGGAGAAGATAAAGACTCGCAAAACTCTTTTGATAAATCGAAAAAATATGCCAATAGAATGGTGCTTTCCCCTATTTATAGGAACTTAAATGCCCCGAGCGGGAAATCCAAGAGTCCCCAATCGAAACTGATAGGGCATGAGGAACGGTTCAATCCATAAGAAACGTGTGTCATAATGATAAAAACTACAAACGACGTTTTAAATCAACACAACTGTTCAACTCCGAACGGATGCGACGATCCAGAGGCATCGTTGAAGCGTTGCGCCATCGCCTCGATCTAAAAATCTCGTTCAAGGCGTAAAGCAGTCAAATTTCTCCTAGCCTTCGAATCGACAGGATCCGCCCGTCGAGCCCTCTAAGGGACGACCTCGACGGACGGAGGGACTAACTGTATAGGTCAAAATCTGACCATAGTGGTCGACCAAGCTGGGATCTCGCCCAGGTGGCGGAATAGCGAAGAACACCACGACCAATCTCAGGTCAAATCATCAACAGCGTATGTCAAGACAGAGTCACATTCGAATAATGACGAAATGGACCGTCGCGGGAAAGTATGTTGGTCAAAGACCACTGAATGAAAACTTCAGGAACTATATATAGAGGTGGGTAAGCACTAATGAGAGGGGGATTTTTCTCGAGTAAACAGAAGAAAGGACATGAAGGGAAAAGGAGGATTTTACCTTGCTTTTCCATTCTACTCCTTCTCTCGCTATCCGTTTTGTATTGAATGTAAATCCATTTTCGTCATATTGGAGATAAGATTATGACATCAATAAATCTGATATTTTTCTATCCATCGTTATTTTCTGTTATGTGTGTTTGGATCCGATGTTAATTATGCTTGGCTAAAATTTACCTTCTTTATCATTGATAATTGGATTTGGCAAAAGAGTTTCAAGATTTTTTGCTCAAACAGTTATGTCCACCAACTAGAATTGTTTAGCATTTTATAAACCACAATAATCACGTTAATATTAGTCCACATTTATTAAAAATTCCAGCAAGGAAGATATATACAACTCCTTTCAAAATTTATTCCTAAAAATACTAAACCTTCAGAAAACTTATTCATTACTCACCAATGTCAAAACCTTATTGATTGTTCTCGTGGTGGCCAGTTAATAAGTCAACAGATTCTTCTCCTTTAATAATTTGCGGTAGGCCGCCATTCCAACACCATAAATATATCCAAAAGAAACAACCACATTATATCCACCTTTTGCCTTTACAAGTAACAATCTCCTCTGCTTTTCACACTACAAGTTAACACTACCACTACACTTTTTTGAGGAAAATGAAGCATAAGAGAAATAACATGTTTGGTTTCTTCTTGTGTTTGCTTTACGCTATGGCCACAACTGGTACAGTGTCAGCGACAACATCATCTTCGGCGTTGGAGTACTCAAGTGTTAAAATCAGCCCAGCATTAGCGATAGTACTCGCTTGTGTCGTATTATTCGTGGTTGCATTTTTCATCACATTATATATACGTCACATGAACCCCGACGAACCAATGGGTTCTTACTTCTTCCGTCATCGACCAGTTTCCCGTGGGCTTGAGCCTAATATCATCGAAACTTTGCCGGTATTTGTGTACTCCGATGTCAAAGCCCTAAAGATTGGCAAATCTATCCTAGAATGTGCTGTTTGCTTAAACGAGTTCGATGATGAAGATACTCTTCGCCTTCTTCGGAATTGTTGCCACGTGTTCCATCCTGAGTGCATTGATGCTTGGCTTGCCTTTCGTACCACTTGCCCAGTTTGCCGTGCAAATCTCAAAACAAAACCTTCTGCTAAACTGCAAGAAACAATTCAGCAATCTGAGAATGTCAGCTCAGTTTCATCACCAGAAACAAATGATACAGTAATAGATATTCACGTGACTGCTGGTCTACAAGAAGTGATGAACCAGCAGTCTTCTCAAACTACACCTACTCATATTTGTTCAACGAAATCTACACCAAGAAATAAAACACCCAACTTCGCCCGCCTTGCACCAAAATCAACACCGAGAAGGCGAAAAATTTTCGGGATGTTCAGTCGTTCTCACTCGACGGGCCACTCGTTGATTCAACGTGGCGAAAATTGCGAAAGGTTTACTCTAAGGTTACCTGATGATGTACGTAAAAGATTGGTGGACTTAAGCTTGAGTAGGGCCTACACTAATGGCGTGGCTTTTTCTCCGGAAAGAAGTTCAACCAAGGGGTACCGGTTCAAACCAGAGGATAGCCGGTTAAGCAAATTCCGGTTTCCACCGACCCCGCCTATGTTTTCTAAACCCGGTTCGACAAAAGAGGAGAAGGGTGAGAAAAAGCCGAAGAATCTTCTGAAGTCCGTTAAGTCACCGTTAAGTTTGTTTTGCAGGACGGAGAAGGATGATACAGGAGAAAGGTCTTTTACTTATTTAAGATCAAGTAGTTAAATTCCGCTAGATAATTATTCATTTTTTTCTCATTTTTCTTTTACTTTTTCTTCATCATAAAATTAATATAGTATATAGTTATTGGATAGCCGAAGCGTCACAAACTATGAATTGTGTACTCCGATACTATTTGATTTTCCACTAAGGGGTCATATAGTTATGAGGTATAAGAAGGTATAGTGCTGGTATAAAAATTTAGAGATTTTTACATTCCTATGCCATATAGTAAATTATATTACCCTCCATGCTTAACTTTTAATATAATTACCTTTTATATACCTAATTACCATTTATGTATATTTTAGGGATTTTAATGGTATTAATTAGTCTCCGAATTTAACTCTACCATATATTCTCACTCCCCCTAGTTTCTCTCTCCAAATCCCACCCCTTCACCCACGTATCAAACCACACCCCACGATTTCCTCTTCAATCACCCACTATTTCCTCTTCTAAAACCAGCGAAAATCTGTAACCCCTCCACCATTGACAACCATTAAAAAGCTTTGAAGCTTTGAATTCGAATTTGGGTTTTCAAAAGACATTGTTGGTTTGGATTGGATGTTGTTGCAAAGAATTGAGAATTCTCTCCACGTCTCTCTCTATCTCTCAATCCCAAATTTCAGTAATATAAAGCAAAGGAAAAGAGAGCAGCAATTCCACCATTGACAGCCATTAAAAAGTTTTGAAGCTTTGAATTCGAATTTGGGTTTTCAAAAATCATTATTTGTTTGGATTGGTGTTGTTGCAAATAATTGGTAATATGGTTTGGAGTTTATATCTCAATTTTGAGGGGTTTTGGTGAAGATTAGACTTGGTTTTGGCTGAATTTCATATTGAAACTCAAAGAAGAAGAAGAAGAAGAAGACATGACATACATTATATTGCAGAAATTGTAGTAAAATTTTAGAAAAATTATAGAAATATTGTATTCTGTTATTTATTTATTTTTCTTTTATTCATTTAATTATTGTATGAAAGTTGAACAACATTGTATAAAAATTATATTTAAGTGGTATTATATTGTAGTTGTCTATAACTGAGTAGAAATAATGTACGAAAATTGTAGATAAGTTTTATAATATATAATTAGTTGTATGAAATTTGTTTTTACTATGTATAAATCAGATACAATATATACAAATGACATATTGTATAAATTTTGTATAAAATTTGAATTTAAGTTGTATGTTATTTTAGTTGTATTTAACCCGGTAGAAATAATGTATGAAAGTTATAGATAAGTTGTAGATATATTATATAGGGGGGCATTGTTGAACGAATTGTTTATCTAAAATTATACATTCATATCTCATATTTGTTGCATTTTTTTTTCGCGAAACTTTACGCATAAATTTTGGTTCCTCTTTGAAAGTACTGAATTTAGATGAATTCATGAATACTACAAAGCTACATCCGCCTTTGTACATGAGAGAAGAGGAGAGAAAGAAAAAAAAAGGGTGTAACTAAATCCCTTGATTGAAGGCACAAATAATGGATTGAGAGCATTTTAAGGTGGATTGTATATATTTTGTAAATAAAACTTGTTTATGCCGGATAATTAACTAAACATGGACATTTAGGGTAATATAGTTTTCAATAATGTATAGGAATGAAAAAATCCCTTTATTTTATTTTTATTCTTTCCCGCTTTTTAAATCAAATTTGGACTTTAAAATAAAATCTGATATTCAAATATATGAAATTGATAATATTAATACAGTGATTTTTGTCAGCACTTTCTCAGTCTCAATAAGGTAAATTTGTACATAATAACAGTAGCTCTTTTAATAGATACATGACTTAATTATTATTGTATATTTATAGAAAGTTTTTAATATCTTCCTGTTTGTAAATGTGACGATCCGACCCGTCGTATCAGGTATTACTGCCCCGTTTTCCTCATTTATTACTTCTTCATGTTTCATTACCGGTATGTGGTGAGTTAGAGTTGTTTCGGATTGGTTTTGATAAGAAATGAGACACTTAGTCTCTTTTAAGAAGGCTTAAGTTGGAAAATTCAACCGGATGTTGACTTATGAGTTAGAGGGCTCGGATGTGATTTCCGGTGATTCGGTTAGCTTCGGGAGATGATTTGTGACTTGGGAGCGTGATCGGAATTTATTTTGGAGGTCCGGTGTAGAATTAGGCTTGAATTGGCGAAGTTAGTATTTTGGCAAATTCCGATTGATAGGCGAGATTTTGATATAGGGGTCGGAATGGAATTCCGAGAGTTGCAGTAGCTCAGTTATGTCATTTGGGATGTGCGTGCAAAGTTTCAGATCATTCGGACGAGGTTTGGTAGACTTTTTGATCGAAAGTGCATTTCGGAAGTTTTTGAAGAACTTAGGCTTGAATCCGATGTGATTTGATGGTTTTAGCGTTGTTTGATGTGTTTTGATGATTGGAACAAGTTTGAATGATGTTATGGGATATGTCCGTGCTTTTGGTTGAGGTCCCGGGGGCCTCGGGTGAGTTTCGGGGTGGTTTCGGACCATTTCTAGGCCACTTTTAACTGCTGGTTTTTGGCTACAGCAGTGTTCTATGCGATCGCGGGGAATTGGTCGCGATCACGGTGAGTAAAATGTGAGAAACGATCCAATGAATCGCGATCGCGTGAAGCCTTTCGCGATCGCGGAGAAGAAATATTCTGTTGCGTTGATCCCACTTCAGAAGCTTATATCTCACAACCTATAAGGAATTTGGAGATGATCTAAAAATGAAAATTATAGACCTTTGTGTCTAGTTTTCAGAAATGTAAATTAATTGGAATTTAAAGTTGTGTACAAAAAGTTATGGTGGTTACACCATATGCTGCCCGGGAAGGTCTCTAATACACAGGGATGACTTTGGAAGCTTATATCTCGCAATGTATAAGGAGTCAGGAAATGAGCAACATATGAAATTATAGCCCTATGTGTCTAGTTTTCAGAACACCAAACCGTTTGTAATTTGGAGTTGTGTGCAAAAAGTTATGACCACTATACTAGAGGCTGTCCGGAAGAGCTGGGAACTGTTCATCGCGATCGCGAAGCATTGTCCGCGATCGCGAAGAGTAAATTTTGGGCCGGAAAAAAATTATTCTCCGCGATCGCGAAGCATTTTCTGCTATAGCGAAGAGTAAATACCTGGGCAGAATGTTTTAAAACACGTCAGTCGCGATTTAGGGGTCATTTTACACCCATAATTGCTCGTTTTTGAAGATTCTTGAAGGAGATTAACGAGGGATTCAAGGGGGAACGTTTGGAGGTAAGTTTCTTGGACTCAAAACTCGTTTTTATTGTGAAATCCATCTAGGAAATCATTGAATTTTTGCTAAAATGGAGGAATAGGGCTTGGAATTTTCAAATTTTTATATTGGGATTTGAAGGGTCAATTGTGGATGGATTTTGAGGTTCTTAGTATGTATGAACTCGTGAGGAGATAAGGAATCCGGTGATGTGAATTTTGTAATTTTTCGAGAAGTGGGCCCGGGGCTTGGGTTTTGCCAACTTCGTGATTTTCGATGTTTTTCGAGTCTTTTCGATTGGGTTATGTTTCCTTAGCATATTGTGATGTATTCGCTCTGATTTTGGTTAGATTTGGCGCGTGTGGAGGCCGATTTGAGGGGCAAAGGCATCGCGGGTTTGAGATTTCACCGGTTCGAGGTGAGTAATACTTGTAAATGATATCCTGAGGGTTTGAAACCCCGAATTTGCACATCATAGTGCTGTATTGTGGTGACTTACACGCCAGGTATGAGCGTGGGGTAGAGCACCGTTGGGGATTGTGACTTGGTCCGTCCCGGTTGTTGGTTTTATTGCATAATTGACTGAAACTTATTTGATGCTATCATGATTTGGGCTGACTGCCATGTTTTGGGCTTCGTGCCGATTATTTGAATCCTTCAGGGATTGATATCACTTTTTTGCATTACTTTGTATATTATTTGATCTCGGTCCAAGGTTTTACATACTGTTTCACAAACTTAGCCACCTTTCTAAGATTTGAAAACTTAAATGATATTTTACTGACGTTTTGAGTTGAGAACTGTTATTTTACTATTGCCCAAGGGGCTTATGTGCATTTCTGGACTGAGGATGGATCGGGCTGTGCGCCGGAGCAGTGTGATATTGATATTGCGCTTGGGCTGTAGGAGCCCCTCCGGAGTCTGAACCCCCACAGTGAGCGCGGGTACCCAAATGGATCAGGCTGCGCGCCGCAGCGGTCATATGCATTGCATTACATTCATGCATTGGTTCTTGTTTGTACTATGTGTCATGACATTCAGCACTCTCATATCACTGGCATCCATGCTACTTCTTGTACTGTTTACCAGACGCCCTGGTGTTAATTGTTTGTGGAGTGTTGTGCCCGATGGGCTGACTTATGTGCGGACTTGCACTATCTGATTACGCATTCATTTGCTTGATTGTTGGAAAAAGATGTTTTCAAAAGAGGTTTTAAACTGAGCCAGATATTTTCTAAAGGATTTTCATGGTTTTACTGTTTTCTCAAAGAGTTGTACTGTCCTATATAGCATGATGGAGTGCTCTTACGTGATTTCTTGCCTCTCAGTTATTATTTACTCTTATTACTCACTGAGTTGGAAGTACTCACTTTACTCCCTGCACCTCGCGTGCAGTTGCAGGTATTGTTCACCCGGTAGCGGGTTATTAGCTGATTGAAGGTAGGGCTATTGTAGCTGAGCAAAGTGACCGCCAGCGTTCGCGGCACCGGATGTTGTCTCTTGATTTTCCAGAATTTTTCTTTATATATTATTATTGGCCCTGTAGTTGTGTTCAGGTTTCTTTAGATGCTCGTGACTTGTGACACCCCGGTCGGGTTGTGTTGGGTTGTACATACTGGTTATTATTGTCGTTAAGCTATATTCACCTATTCGTTTAAAGAGACGATTTGGGTTAGTTGGCTGGCCTTGTCTTCACGAGAGGCGCCATCACGACCGGGTTTGAAAATTGGGTCGTGACAGTAAATTTGAATACTAAAACCTGACCATACAAAAAAGGCAGCCCGGTGCACTAAGTTCCCGCTATGTGTGGAGTCCGGGAAAAGGCCGGACCACAAGGGTGTATTGTACGCAGCCTTACCCTACATTTCTGCAAGTGGCTGTTTCCACGGCTTGAGCCCGTGACCTCCTGGTCACATGACAGCAACTAAAACCCGAGCATACCATTTCCCAAATAATTTATCCGTTCATTGTATTTTCCCTTCCACTCTTTAATCATCTCTTGTTTATATGCATACTATAACCACCTCCCTTTACTCATCCTTTTCAATTCATTCTCTCCAAAATTGATAGCTTTTGGAAAAGGAAGAAGACGCTATTTCCCTATTCTTTGATCTCCCTCTCCTCCATCACCAACATTATTTATAAAAGAAAATCCAAACCTTTCTAAATTTATTAAATTTTCAAACACAAAACTAGGCGTACGCAGTGGCGGCTCAACCCTAAAGCCACTAAAGCAGTGGTTTTAGGCCCCCAAAAAATTAAGGCCCCAATTTTCTCAAATTATATATAGTATAAGTAATTATGTGTTTATTAACAGTGATAAATAAATTAGGTTTAATCATTTGTTGTCAATTTTTAAATTTTGTACTAAAAATTGTAGATTATTAAATTTGCATGTACTTCCTATTTTTTGTTATTCTTTTTTGTTACCTCATGCATGGCGAATGAGCTCAACTTCTTAATTTTTGTCTAACTCACTTCAACTTAAATCAATTTTGTGTATAACTATGATTTTGTAGAATCTTTTTCTATTCTTCAAGTGCTTTTTAGATATTTTTTTCTATCTTAAGCTAATGAAATTATTAAAGGATTAGATATGAAAAGGCATTTCTTAGCCTCGAATTTCTTTTGAAGCCTCTTTTTAAATTTTCGCTTTAGACCACGTGTAGTGTTGAGCCGCCTCTGGGCGTACGTCCAAATTTTGGTGTTAATAAATATTCGATTTTAAACAAGAAGATTATTTATCAGATGACGAATTTAGAGCCATCTTCTTCAGCTACCTCTCCGGTGGCGCTGCCACAGTCACCGAGGCACTCAACGTTGCCGTACTTATTCTATGAATTTAGCAGCTATTTTAGGGTTTATTATTTTTGTGTTATTTGTTTCAGCAGGTGCATATAGGAAAACTCCGGGTTACCTTGAGAATAATGAAGGTGAAAATGGAGATGATGTTGAAGCTGGAGAAGGGAATAATAATGGTGATGGATCTGATGTTAAGGTTGCACCACCAGTTTTTGAAGAGAAGTTTTTGGTTGTTATGTCTGGAGAAATGAAGCCAACTTTTATTGCTACACCTATATCTAGTAGGGTTTCATCTTTTGGTAGCTGCAGTAGTGGTTGTACTGCAAGCAATGAGAGTAGTACGGAGAAATCGGAGGGAGAAGAGGAGGGAGAGAAGAAATAGGAAAATGGTGTCTCGAGTTTGAGTCCAGAAAATAAAGAAAGTGCTCCTAACACGGAGCACGTGCCCCCTTTAACGAACTCTACTAGGCGCGAATGCAGATTAATTGAGTAGTAAATTCATCATAAAAAGGTGGAAATGGTTAGCATGGTGAGCCATGACATCACAACAAACATAAATCAGGTCCTTTAATTAAACCAAAAAAAGAATAGTTTACTTTTAAATTTTTGTATTTTCTTCGTTCTATGGGTAGGTTTGTTCATAAAAACCCAAAAAATCGAACCAAACCAAAAACCAAACCAAACCGATCAAAAAAACCGATACTTTTTGGTTTGGTTTGGTTTTGGTTTTGAATTTTAAAAACCGATCAAATTTGGTTTGGTTTTGATTTTAATAAAAAAATAACCGAAAAAACCGAACCAAACCGACTACAGGAGTAGTTATTTCAAATTTATTATTGCACCTATATATATATGTATTATTTTTAAACAAAGTTTCAAAAAATTTATGGTGAATGTTAATCGTTTGCACTTTTAGTATAGTTTTTTACCTTTATATTCTAGTTTGATTGGTAGTTTTCTTTTGTTAAGTGTAAGAATCCATTTCATGTTAAGATAAATATATTTTTAATTGAGTCCTTAAATTATTCATCACTATTTGATTCAATTATCATCAATATATTTTAGTAAATAATAGATTTCTCAAAAGGCAATTGATTTGATAGTGTTACGTTGAAAATGTGGTTGCCGGAATATGTGTTTGGTAGTGTATGTCTTATATTTAAGAAAAAACCGACAAATAACCGAAAAACCCGAAAAACCGACTAAACCTGACATAAACCGAATCGAGAAAAAACCGACTTAATTGGTTTGCTTTGGTTCTAATATTTGAAAAACTGACTTACTTGATTTGGTTTCTTTTTAGGTAAAAACCGATCCAAACCGAACCATGAACACCCCTATCTATGGGTATGGAATTAGGCATTGGGGCTTTGGGATGAAGCATGGGATTCTAGTTAATTAGCTTTTGGTAGAGGTAGATAGAACTTCTCTTGTTTTTTCCTTTTCTTGGCAGAGGTAGGGAAGAAATAAGAAAATGGTCTCTCGAGTTTGAGTCCAGAAAATAAAGAAAGTGCTCCTAACACGGAGCACGTGCCCCCTTTAACGAACTCTATTAGGCGCGAATGCAAATTAATTGAGTCAGTAAATTCATCATAAAAGGTGGAAATGGTTAGCATGGTGAGCCATGACATCATAACAACATAAATCAGGTCCTTTAATTAAACAAAAAAAAAGAGTAATTTACTTTTAAATTTTTGTATTTTCTTCTTTCTATGGGTATGGAATTAGGCATTTCGGCTTTGGAATGAAGCATGGGAGTCTTGTTAACATATATAAAATTCATATATAATATATGTATAATTATGTATAATCAATATATAATCTATGTATATCGGCTAGAAAAAGTAAACAGTAAATCTGACCGGCTATATGTGTAACAATCGCTATGAATTTTGACCCAGCTATTACTAGTTACTTGCCAAGTCCATTTTGACTAATGGGTTTACATCTTCGGTCCAGTTCATGTTTAGCAGTCAAAATATTGAGTCAAAACTGCTGGGCTGCAAAAGCTGCACAAATAGGATCATTTTGGTGCCACTAGAGGTATCAAAATTTGGCCCAGAAAAATATGACCCGCCTAACCCTCCCAAAGTTAGGCGGGTTATTGACAGGCCCATTTATTAAATTCAGTCCATTTTGACTCAACTCATCTAAGCTCATCTAAAGTTTGACTGATTTTTAGCCCAAATTAATCCACGAGTAACTTTGTCAAAATATCTTAAAATTAATTCGTTTTGTTTGATATGTTATATTAGAACAAAAGAAAAAAGTCTTATTTAGTAATTAAATAATTAATAAGAAAATAATGCATATTAATTAAAGCTTGATAAGAGTATGGTGGGTTTGGCTATGACTTAAATTTAAGCTATCTTGATCCAGCCCATCTCAATTTAAATAACTTTTGGGTGAGTCATTGACCTGTCCATTTATTGACTCAGCCAATTTTGATTCGCCCAAAATCTGCCCAACCCGCCCATTTGACACTGCTAGGTGCTGCCCAAAATCTTAGGAAAATAGTTTTCAGTCATAATTTTAAAGCACGCTGGCCAGAATTTCTCGGACAAGTCCTATAGTGATTCACCATAATTCTGACGGTTACCATAAATTTGTAGGTTACGATGATCATCACAAAATTCTAACGGATATTATATTTTTGTGCAATTAGCCACAAAATTCTGACCGATCACCAGAATTTTTCTTATTGTGACTAAAATTCTAGTGATCGTGAGGATTCCTTCAATTTCAAGTTACACACAAATTTATTCCCTTATGCCACAAATATGCAATATAACATAAATTGAAAATATGTCAAGAATAATTACCAAAAAGAAAATATGTCAAAAGAATGTTCTAAGTTTCTTTATTTTATAACGAATAAATTTAGACGGTTGATCTGTTGCGGAATATCGTGGGTTAACTAGCACACAATCACACACAAAGCAAATAGAGAAGAAAAATCAACACAAGGATTTAACGAGGTTCGGCTAAGCCTAATCCTTGGGGCAAAAGCAGAGAGAGTTTCACTATGAATGAGAAGAAAAGCACACTACAACCTGTCGATTCCCCAACTACAACCCCTATATATAGATCCCAAAAGGTCCCAAACATATAAGAGAAAGGTTTCCCAATTTGACAAGGACTATAGGTTTTCCTTTCCTAAATATATTAGGACAATGGGTTTTCCTAAACCTATAGCGACTATGGATTTCCTAAAAAATACAAGGAAATAATTCAAGCCACAAATAACAAATCTTCCCCTTGGCTTGACTCTTCATCAACAGGAACAACATCTCTCTACCTTGCCCTCAGCCATCGCAAAGGCTCTATCCATTGCCGCACACATCAACCAAGTCTAGGAAACACCTAAACTTGTTAAGAGACTCAATCTCTTTAGCCATAGCACTAATCCGTCGATCTGGTTCTGTACTCTGAATAGCTTCTAAGTAGATATAACACTCAAATGCATCAACGGTCTCTGCAACTGCAAAAGCAAATCCCACTGGATTCGTTTATCCAAGAAGATTCCCATCAACTACGTTTGCAAACATTTGCGGTCGGTTGATCACTCTCTTCTCTCTACCTGTTGCAATGCTATATGGTTGTTGTTGCGCAGATGCATCAGCATTATCATTTTGATCAATATTTTGTACCTCCTCCACTGTCTCTACTTTAGAACTACTGGGCTAAGCTAGTGGAGATTCAATTTCTAGCTCTATGCGATCATTGACACCACGATCTGTTTCTGCTATTGCCTTCTCCCTCTGATTGTCTAGTGAGGCAGATTCATTGAATGTTACATCCCTACTGATAATTAGCCCTGGAGTCTTTTGATTTGTGCACCACAACCTATAACCTTTCACTCCAGTTGCATACCCTAGAAATATGCACTTCTTTGCCCCCGGCTCAAATTTTCCATCACTCACATGAGCATAAGCAGGACAACTAAATATCCTTAAATTTGAATAATCAGCAGGAGAACCGGACCATACCTCAAAAGGAATTTTGAACTCAATAGCTGTGGATGGAGATCTGTTGACCAAATAACAAGCTGTATTGATTGCTTCAGCCCAAAAATGTTTGCTAACACATGAGTGTGTAAGCATGCTTCGTGCCCTATCACAAAGCATTCTATTCATATGTTCTGCAACACCATTTTGTTGTGGTGTTCCGACACAAGTGCGGTGTCTCACTGTGCCCTCCCTGCTGCAGAAATTATCGAACTCAGAATTGCAAAATTCCAACCCATTGTCAGTTCGAAGACGCTTAACTTTTCTTTCCGTCTGCCTCTCAACCATCGCCTTCCATTTAACAAATGTCGTAAATGCCTCATCTTTTGTTTTCAGAAAATACACCCACACCATCCTTGAGTAATCATCAACCAAAGTCATAAAATACATGGCACCACTCTTGGAGGGAACTCTGTTTGTACCCCACAAGTCAGAGTGCATATAATCTAACTTGTCTCTGGTCTTGGACCCCCCTGTTTGTTTACCAAACACACAATGCTCACAAAAATTCAAAACTTGATTTTTGTACCCATTCAACAAATTCTGCTTACTCAACAAAGACAATCCATTATCACTCATATGACTTTGTTTGAGAATGATGTTGGGAGAAAGAAAGGCGACTCTTGTGATCCTTTGACATTATTGAAGGGAGGGGGCTCGACCTGAAGCCTTTAAATAGAGTCCCATCAGGTCGAGTCGCAAGTGCCACAACTGAGACTGATTCAGATCACTTTTCCTAGAAGCTACAACAGCTTCCCCTTCAACTACACTGTCCTGAAGATGATACAATTTAGAATGTAGTTTACCCTTCATGAGTACCATGGAGTCTTTACACACTTTAGGTATTCCATTCTCAGAGTGAAATTTATACCCTTGATCATCCAAAGTCGAAAGAGAAATCAAATTTCTATTTATCCGAGGAACATGCCAACACTCAATGTTTCTGATTATTCCGTCGAACATTCTCAATTTGATGTTACCAACCCCCTCTACTGGTAATAGATTATTATCTCCCATATAGACAGTCCTACTCATTTGCTTGTAAGTTGCAAACCAATTCTTGTGTGGACACATGTGAAAAGTAGCACCAGAATCAAGAACCCAAGAATTCTGTCCATGACTAGAACTCACAGCACAGACTTCCCCTACATAGTCGCTATCATCAGAATTATTGCCAGTGTCAACAATATTTGCCGAATTATCTATTTTCTGCTTCCCTCTTTTCTCCTTCAGCTTACGACAATCTCTCTTGTAGTGACCTTGCTCCCCGCACTCATAACAGTGTTGCTTCCTTGCTCTAGACTTTATTTTGGCGGTTGACTTTTTCCTATTAAAGTCCTTTTGTTGTATTCTTCCTCTAATCACAAGACTCTCG